ATCTTTACATGATGACATTATTTATCCCCCATTTTGCAATTATGGTGCATTAGTTATTTTACCACAGTTGTGTGAGTAACACAGGGATAAGCCTCCTCCTTATCAAACCTTGTTGATTAACCCCTGCCCAAATGGAGGCATATCTGTTGTCAATCCACTTTTACTTTTAGCCATGGCATGAGGTGTTCTAGTATCTCATTTGTTCATTAAAAGAAATTAAGACTGAACTAGAAAGGCCAATATTTGCTTTGGAGCAAATACAGCGATGGGTTCACCACATTTTACGATATGGCAGGGAAAGAATGAGAAACACAAGGGAAAACAATGATTTACATTGATATAACTATAATATGAAGTAACATACAACTAAAACAACAGTTGGATAGCTATTCCCTACTTTATTGGTTAGGATTTTTAATTGCATAATGCAAACTGTTGATTTTCAAAATAAAAAAAAACGTTCATGCCCCGCATTCCAATGCTGGAGCAGAAAAGCTTGAAATACCTACCAAAACACTTGAATAAAGACATACTGTCAGTATGGAAATGCTCTGTGCAGGTGTTAATCAAGTTAAATCCCAACAGCCAATCAGCAAGAAATGCTCTGTGCAGGTGGAAATGCTCTGTGCAGGTACATGTTAAATCCCAACAGCCAATCAACAAGAAGTATAGAGGAAAGCTGCATGCCTATTGGTTGATGCCCTGCATTCCATTGTGATGACTCATGCCCAGACGTGGTAAACACTGCACACTAACACAGTAATACATTTGCTATAACACAGCCCAAAAACTCAAATAAAACCTTTCTAAAAGCCTGTATCACAAAAATTTAAAAAACGCCTAGGGGTATTTGCCCACTGTACCTCCATACCAAATTTCAGGACCTTAGGCCATAAAATGAAGAAGCTGAATCCATTTAAAAGAAGGAGGAGAAACATCAGAAAAAGCAATATGGGTTCACCACCACTTCGTGGTGTGGTGAACCCATAAAAATGTGCAAAGTAGGGCCAGTAGTGCAAGGGGGGTGCAAACATACTACATGTATGTAAATGGTATATTTGCACACACTATGACATACAGCAACATGGGGGAACGGGTTTTCTGCGCGTGAAGAATTTGCGCGTGAAAAACTTGCGCGTGAAGAATTTGCGCGTGAAAAATAAAAGTCTTAGAAATATGTTAGAAAATATGCAGTACCAAATTCTTAGGCAGGAAAATGTTGTCCTCTGGTATAATTTTCCCTCTGTTAGCCAAAATTTTTGTTTGAAAATGTTGGTCCCTTGGGAATAAGCTAATTTGCATAATTTCCATAAAACCTGACCTTTTGAAAATCACTTGAATTTGTAAGAAATACATGGAAAAGTTACTAGTATGAGGTTTAGGATGGTAAAATGCAACAATCTGAAGCTTTTCTCCATTCTAGAAGTTTGATTTCATGCTTTCTTAAACAAATTCTTTCACGCGCAAATTTCACCCTTTTTTGCGCGTGAAAACTTTACCTTTCAAAACTAGAGTTCCACGATCTCATACCTTCGCCAAATGATGTTAGCATTTATGACTAAGAAATTATAGATTAATCCCCCTGATTGTGCAAATAGGATCCTATATTGCATCAATTATATCTGTTGATCATATTCTACACCAGAAGACAGTCTCATCTTATCAAAGAATGGCATTATAGCATTTCCTCATAAATTATGCAAATGAGGTCCTTCTTTGAATAAGTAATGTTTAATTATGTTCACCTTCACATAACTTTCAAATATCCCAAGTATGAAATTCCAGGCAGTTACCACTATGTAAGTATAACATTTTCTAATTAATTATGCAAATTAAGTCTTCATTTGCATAATCGATATCTGCCTGTATTTCTGCCGCTCTTAATTACATATGTCACAAGCTTGAATAGTCCTATCATGGAATGCAGCTGATTTATAGAATTTCCTCATTAAGTATGCAAATTACATAAACATTTGAATAATTATAATATCATCATGTTGAGCATCACTTCAGCTACCTACATGCCAAAAATCACGACGACCCATCAATCGGTTCTTGAGTTATCCGCCTTTAAACATTTTTCAACTAACGCCCCTGCAGTTCCAGAGAAAGCCGCTAGAGGGCCCAAACTCATGCCACTTCTTCCCCAGCACAAGAGCTACCCACCACCCCAATTTCGTCACCCTAGCATGTCTACATCACGAGATATCAAAACCGGAAGTTCAGCTGCAGTACCATAACAAGCCGCTAGGGGGTCCAAAATTGAATCAGTTCTACGTCTCATGAAGACCTATCTACCTACCAAATATCAAGACAATCCATCTAAGCCTTCTCGAGTTATCGTGCTGACACACACACACACAGACACACGAACGCCAACGAAAACATAACCTTCTTGGCGAAGGTAATAACCTGAAATCACAAAAAAATGGACAAAACAAGGGTATGTAGTCTAGAATGCAAGCAAAATGATGTTAAATTTTTATTTTCTTGTCTTTTTTCCAACTTTTAAGCTTAAAACAGCAAAAAGTTTTCAAATCCCTTGGGAGTCAGCTAATTTGCATATCTTCATGCGCAGATTCTTCACGCGCAAGTTTTTCACGCGCAAACACGCGCACGCTCCAACATGGAAGTGTTTCCACCATCTTGGATGGTTAAACCTGGAAGTTACCAGGTAAATGTCAATCTATAAATAAAAAGTACAGTCAAGTCATCATGACATAATGATTACATCCGGTAGTTTTCTAATATTACAGGCTCTAGATAATCTTTTCCACCTGATCAACTCTGGTAGGAATAAGTTTAGATGTGATTTACTGATCCTATCATTGATCCTGACGTGATCTGTCAATACCAATCAGTGTTGATTTGATAAATGACAGGTAAGCCCACCTGCCAGGTGTGTGGATATCATACCTGGACTCACACAGGATCCATTACTGGTTATGTCAGGCAAGATCCCTTTTCACAGGCCAAACAAAAGATTGTCACTAATTTTTCACACTGACCAGAGCTTGGGCAAATAATATTCATACCTAAAAGGTTAGCTGGCCAAATAAGCATCAAAATGATACAATTCTAGTATAGGACTCATAGAAATAACAATAAACAGTAAACAGGCCAAACAAAACACACCAGCAGCAAAGAAGTCAAATTACCGACTAAAAAAGTTATTTTACAAACATGTGCTGCTACAAATACGTCTTCAAGGCATTGATACTTTGTATGTTTTCCTTAGTCCTGAAAACAGATACTGTAGCCATGGAGTACAAGTGCTATGATTGAGACCCTTTGGATAGTATTAAAAGGAAAGCTCTCAAACAGACGTCATAAACCCTGATTGAACCACTTGTGCAGCGTGCACTGGTGAGGGCATGTCATGGCAACAATGGAAACTGCATGGAGAGATGCATTCTGATTTAGTGATTAGCAACCCTGTCTCCAGACTAGAAGGCCTCTGGTTTAGATCCTGACTTTGCCATTGGTGTTCTGAAGACCAGTTTACTAGTACATGCTTACTGTTGGACAAGTCTGTTGTCAGAGAATACGTCATGAACCACAGTGCGGGCATGTTGGATAATTCACCACAATTTGATATAAAAGTGGAGCTACTCCCCAATGCTTGACACTCAAACCACTCAGCTTCCAAAGTTTCTATTCTAAACTGGCAGCATAGGCATGGCACCCTTTTGAAAATGTGCCCTCATACTCTAGAGATATTATGTTAAATTCTGACAGCTGCAGACAAGTCACCCAGGAAGGTGAGTGGGATGGGGTTTTGACTATTTGAATAAATCTACAAAATGAGAAGAAAGTTTTAATCATTTTTAAATAAGTTGTCTCAAACTCAAGAAGGATCAGACGATCAATAGAAAGCTTCTTGGGAAGCATTTTACTTTGTGTATTGAAATACATATCAGTACACATACATGTAGCAATACACATACAGTGTCACATGCAATGTCACGATAAATGATAACTGTTGTCTCTCTGACCACTGAGTTTATGGTGGCCTATTCTACTATTAGACAATGGTTCACTCTATTCACCTATTCACTCATTCAGTCATCTATTCAGAATTATGTAATTTATGTAAGTTTATGCAATAGACTTATCGAAAAAGACTTCAGCCACCCATTCATTAGTTCATCATGAACCCCGAGGTTTTAATTCGAGTACTAGTAGTAGCCATCTGCATATAACGTTATATAAGGAAGATACCTGGGGGGTAGAAAAACAAAGGTGATTGAGTCAAGCCCAAAGCTTCTTTTTCACAAATGCAGTTGACTAATGCAGTGTAACAATCTCCCCCGCCGCGCGTAGGATGCGCCTTGTGCACTGTGGGGGCGTGAGTGTTTTCATACCACCTAATGACTTCCCCTCCCTTCCACAATCACCACCTGCCCGGCTGGCAAAAACGCTCTGCAGGGGTCGGCATGGGCAGGGTTAAACTCTCCACACGCCCCCTGACGTACACTGTGCTGGGATCGCCGGTACCAAGAGGCTGGTCAGAGATCGGGGATGCATGGTGCTCACATCTCGTGACCCTGCAGACAACCGACCAGCCACCTGCGCTACCATCATTTTGACGCGCCTTACTATAGATTAATTACACATACCAGATAATGAGAAAACTTGCGACATACTGAAAAGTCGTTTGCTTCACGTTTTTTTAATCACCAGTCCCTTGTGGTTTTCTTAAAACGGAAGGGCACTCGGGAAGCGAACAAGCAAATAATTTTATAACGGCGTATAACCTCACGGTCATACCCACTCCGCGATGGTGAACAATCTTAAAAGACAACAGAAGCAAAGGCGTAGGATATGAATCTGATAAACCAGGTTTAAGCATTATAACATCGACGAGCCAAACTGCTCCCCAAAACCCCGGCGGATTTTAACGATGCCGAATTTTATACGGAAGCACAGGACAATGGTATGATAAAATAACATTGGACCGAGAAGATCGCACGGGATGAGCGATGACACGTCCTTCTTACCGTGAATGGCGAACCGTCAACATTGCCCACGGCGAAGCAGTGGTCGCCGGGGTTGACCGCCCCGGTCAAGACTTGGTGCTGTTTCATGAGCCGGGCACAACGGTTGATAATCCGAGGGAAGAGCAGCAACAATTCATCGAAAAATCGTGAAAATGAATATTTTCTAGGTGGGAACGACCGCCATGTTGAATCCGTGATCTCGCGAGAGTTGTGACCTTGCACGTGAGGTCACGCGGGAGGACAGGGACGGAAGATTACATTCAGTCAACAAGGAGAAAACACACATCAAATAGATATTTAACTGCGGTAACGGTTATAGACTTCTTTGATATCCATCAAATATCCTTGCTATTTATATTATATACCTAAAAAATAAATTTTATTCTGATTTGGCTGCCAGTAACGAGATAAAATGTTTGCTTAGGCATATTGACTCCCCCAAACGGTTGGTGGACCAGTTCAGTATGGCGGACGGCGAGGACGGTTCCAGTGCAGACGACAGTTGGTTTTTTGACTCCCTCGCTCACCTAACGCCAGAACCGCCCACAAAAAGGACCATGTGCGACAGATGCGGGTACTTTGCGCGTATTCAGAAAGTTTCGTGTTTAAGTGTTGTGATTTACCTGAGTTATGTTTGCAAAATGTGCTTGCAAAACCGGATACCGGGTGGGGAAGAAGCAGGCAGCAGACCGCCTGCTTTAGTTCGCCTAGAAAAAAACTCTGCGTCGTCGTCGCTTTACTTGAATTTAAAAAAATGATTGATGTGTTCTTAAAAGCAAGTCTACGAAAGCCCCACACTCCGCACTGCTGTTCCAGTGCTGATTCAGTGGCCAATGAATATAGGGTCATATAGTCGAGCACTGGTTTTCCCGTGCTGAAGTGAACGGCTTTGTGCCAGTGATGAAGCTCCCGTCACTGGAATTCCAATTCCAGTGTCTCAGCACTCGGTTTCCAGAACTGAACGTGCGACAGAGCAGCGGCTGGCCAGTTCAAAGGTCATTCAGAACTGGATATATTGATTATATGACTGTACATACAAAAGACATTATGTTTCTGCTTGTGTTATTTTTAATATTTAACGTTAACGTTACATGAGATGGTGTCTCTTTTTGACTCCCCGTTAGCCGACCTGCGACGGTGTGCCTGTGTCCGTTCCTACCCAGACAGCCTCTGCAGGTGTCCACCACAGTTTACATTATACAACATCCACATGAGGTCAGTTTACTCCCAGGGTGGCCACCTGTATTGTTAGCACCTGCATAGTAGTGCAGTGGTTAGTGATCATGATCTAGACCACAGTTATGCTTCGAATCCTAACCATTGTCACTTACACCAAGGAGGTTTAAACCTTGAATTAAAAAAAAAATGATTGATGTGTTCTTAAAGGCAAGTCTACGAAAGCCCCACACTCCGCACTGCTGTTCCAGTGCTGATTCAGTGGCCAATGAATATAGGGTCATATAGTCGAGCACTGGTTTTCCCGTGCTGAAGTGAACGGCTTTGTGCCAGTGATGAAGCTCCCGTCACTGGAATTCCAATTCCCTTTAAACCTCCTTGCTTACACGACATGCATGCTACTGGAAAGGGTTATACTAGTAGACCTTACGCCATGGTACACTGTTCATTGTACTAATGTTAAAAAGAGCTAGGAAAATTTTCCCAGTATGATAAACCTCCCACCTCCCTGCAGGAAACCCGTGTGCTGCGGACAGTCCCTCTCCTGGCAGCCTGCCTCCCTCCTGACAGATGTCATGTCATCAGGGGGAAGAGGTTCAAACAGGGACAGTGAGTATCTGTAATCTGTGTATGTAAGGCCACACCAATTTTATCAACTGATTCTCTGGTTTGCACGCTTCATTTTTCTGATTTGTATGGTGAAAGATGATGTTTGATGTCTCACTGAATCTTCCACTTGCAGCCACCCAGAACTGGAGCTGATGCTGTCCTCCCCTTACACATATGTACTATACCCAAGTGATGACGCACTCAACATTGAGGAGGTCACCATGACAACACAGCTAGCCAATCAGGACACACCACCCTACAATATGGTCATCATTGATGGCACCTGGACACAGGCCCGTGACATCTATACAGCCAATGAGATTTTCCACCTTCCTAAACAGGTTAGACCTCAATCTGTATCACATATGTTACTATTATGTGTTGGAGGCTGGATGACTGGTTTCCTTAGTAACATAGAATCCTGAGCTCCCACTTTACTGTTTTGTCATAGTGATAAAGAATCTTGAGGTCCTATTGGTAGTTCTTGGTAGATCTCTTTGGTAAGATCTAGAGGTTTATGGCCACAAACTCTTGGGAGTAGGCCCAATGAGACCCTGACAGCAAGAGATTGTGTAACACATGCAGGCTGGGCCACGTGTATTTCCAGGTGAAGTTGAGTGGAACAGGAGTCAGTGAGTATGTCATCAGGACCCAGCCCACTGACAACAGTCTGTCCACACTGGAAACTGCTGCTGTTGCCATGGCTGCGCTTGAGCGACGCCCAGAGATTAAGGAGGTGGGTGTTGGGCTCTTTTCTTCTTCTTGTAGTCTAACCCAAAATGTTATCATGACAAGGTCTCATCAAGACCTACCCACCTACTTCTTAAGTTATCATTTTGACAGATACACACACACACAAAAAGGTTACCAAAAACATAGTCTTGGCAAAGTAAAAAGGGATATTACATGTACCTCTGTACTCGGTTCATTCAGATCAGGAGAGAATACAGCCACATGTCCATGTAGAATGGTTCTTGTGTCTTTCTTTCCATGTTTTCATGTACATTTCCAGCAGCAGCAGCTGTAATCTCTCAAACTTGTAAAAGACACCTGATGAGGCCAGGGCTACCAGCAATTACAATAACACCTTGCATTTGGCAGCACACATACTTCATGTATACCTACAATGGCTAGTAACAATCCCCCCCCCCTTCTCCCCACAGGTGCTATTTGCCCCCCTGCGTGCCTTATGTAAGTTCCAATTGGAATGTGGAGCCCAGCCTCACCAGAGTAAGGAGTACCTGAAGAGTAGGGGGCTTTACAAGAAACCTTCACCTCATCACACCCCTGAGAACAGGAGGCTCTGCAAGAAAACCTCTCCTCACAACACTACAGGAAAAGCAGGGCTATGACACAGGCTCTCATCTAGACTCATATTCATGTTGCTTTTCAGATTCAGGCCATAGGAAGTAACTTATATGAATGACATCGTGCATGAACTGTCAGAAAACCGATAGATGTTTACGACATGTTTGACCGTTTTTGTCACGTTGACCACATTGAGAGGAAGAAATTTCTTCCTTTTGTTTTAATTCAGGCAAAAATAGTGCATGTGCTGATGTCATCCATATAAAGAATTACTTGCTGTGGCCCTAACAAAAAAAAACTAGTGCTGAATTGGAAGATCAACATAAAAACAGTATGATGGGAAAGTCTGTACCTTGGTGAACAGAGTTCCGAAGAGTTTAACTTTAAGATTCAAGAGATTCCTCCCGGTCTTCTGTTTTCTTGCTGCTCTTTCTGAATTCTCACTGTAGAATTAGCCTTGAATTTAGTCTTGTTAGCTTAAGTCTACATTCCTACAGTCGCTCCTTGCCAACATGGGAGGTGAACAAAGCTAACAAGGCTGGGCTCCAGGCTACTGTTAAATGGCCAACAGCAGTTTTAGACAGGATTTTGTTCATATTATACATTCTACTTATGTATTGGTCAGTTTCCAATGTGTCAGTTAGATTGTTACGCCACAGCAAGGGCATTATCAGTGTATACTGACAGGCATAATACCCTTGACCACAGAAGTTGGACTACTTACAGTAACAGTTGTATTTTCCAGCTGGTGGTAGAAGTAAATTTGGAATGACAAATATTTTTTGATATACTTTTATTACAATAATTTGTTAGAAATATTAAACAATAATCCAAAGAAAATCAGATTGGCTTTTGTTAATGAATATCTTGATGTCAACTCAAGATGATTCCCTACTGAAGACTAGGTATTTTGTGGACTGGCCTATTCATTTATTGAACAACATGTAAGCTACTGGTAACCTAACTGGTAGCCTGTAACCTTTTTCATGAGTTGATGTTTTACTGGTCCTGGTCTTCCTAAACCTCTCTCTAGCCAACTTTTCTGATTCCTGCTGTCTTTGAGAGCAAATTATAAAATGAACACTGTAAAGATTCCCAGCACCATAGAGATACCGGGAATTCAGGTTACCAAAATACCAGCTACAAGTGTTCACCTACCATGTATGTTTTTGTTGATTATGAGGTCCTAAGAAATGGCTTTCATAACCCAGCAGCCCTCTTCTATTTAACTGCCAGAATGTCTAAAAACACACGTCAGTGACATTAGCATCTTAATCATTCGTCTAAATTAGTCCTGTGGAAGTTTGCAGCATGTGCACTTCCTCTGTGAGTGTCAATACATGATACATTTACATTTAAGCCTGAGAACAAAGGTGTGCAAACATGGGAAGATGGGGAACAACAGATGCTCAACTGAAAAGTGAGTGAGTGTGGGTAACTTGTAATGTCATGCACGCCTCAAAGACAAATCAACTGTTATCCAAGGAACTGTTATAGAATCCCTTTACAAATTTTGTGTTATCTTTTGAAGGTTGGGGAACTGAACACACCTTGCACAGTTCTGCAAGTTCTTGCTCATATTTTCTTTATTACTATCATTTCTATGGTGGGTGCTAATGATCATTGTTCTGTGTAAGAAATTTAATGTTACATCCGAAAATACCAAGGATTTAACCTCCTTGAAAATACTGATGCCAAACTTGCCTCTGCTGCAATTTTCATTATGTCACACAATTTGACAGTTACAATAAATTTACAACACCAGTTTTCCTGCAGTACCATTTTACAGTCTGTAACGTGTGTGACTTTCAAGGTGTAGGTTCCATAAAGGAATTTACTTAAGCAAGAAAGATATACACATTGGAACTTTATAACATGTTAATATGTTGTTCAATTCAATGACACTGAAATACATTTTCTGGGGGAGGGGGCGTCTTTTTGTGATAAGTCACCGTATATCCATAGGATTAGGGAAGGACCCGTGATTTTTTATTGTAGATGACTTTATCAGGACATGCTCTGTTGGCCAGAAACACGTGTTTTGTACAGCAAAGAAGCAAGGGCAGTGCAATACCGGTATTTAAATCCAAAAACCAAATTTTCTCCAGTCTCGTCAGAAGGGTAACATTTCTGCTTTCACATGTTGTTACAAAGTACGCACAGAAGACGCAGGAGTCATAGAATCTCAGAATTGGAGTTTGGGCCTTTCTATAATATTAGGTCTCCATCAGTACCCATGGCATGGCATCGTGCAAGGGCGACATCTATCGTCCCAGTGTAATACTGCACCCTGACATTTAAATGTAGGTTAAAGGGCAGGGCAAAGTGGGGGCAGGGGTAAGCAGAAAATTATCATTCGCTGGAAATTGGCATTTAATGGAAATCTAATGAAAAAAGAAAACTTTGAAAAATATTTACAGCTAATAAGTCTATATCAAATCATGTAATATATTCATTTTTTTCTTTCATTCGGGACGATGGGTTAACGTCAACATTTTGCTGCCCCCTTCCCATGACGTCACGCGTGGCACATAAGTTGCAACTTGTTACGAAAACATCTATTTTCGTAGCGGTGTCTCGGGCCCTTTGTCATCATTTCTAGTGCCGATATCGCGGACACAACTGCTACAAAGTCTTCTCCCGACATAAAGAGTTTGTTTTACACCATGGCAGTCCGTGCACAGTTCGAAAATAGCAACGAAGTCGGCGTTTTTGCCAAACTGACGAACGCGTACTGCCTGGTGTGCGTCGGAGGGTCGGAGAACTTCTACTCCGTGTTTGAAGCGGAACTTTCGGACGTGATTCCCGTGGTACACACCACCATAGCCGGCTGTAGGTGAGTCTGGATGGTGTTATGTGTGTTATGTGGGTAGATCATTGCCGATGTTTGGGTAGAGAAGGTTATAACCTTCTGTAAAACAACGCTAGGAGCGACCGAGCCACGTGTAGTGGGGGAGGGGGGTAGACGTTACTGCGAAACTTGTGTGGTATACTTTATAAAGCTCAGGTAGCAGTGTCATAATTTTTGCTTCCGCGTGGCCGCGCCGTGGGTTTGTGTATCTGTTCGTCGGTACAGAGTAGGTTGACAGTACGTGGGTGCGGGAAGACTATTGAATCATGTAAACCCGAGGTCAAAGGTCAATATTTGCCAGCAGGAAACATGATAATGGAACTGCAGGTCAATGTAGAACGCACAAGTCTCAATGCCGGTTCATGATCGCAAAAGTACCAAAGTAACAGGTTCCTTTCTCAGCGCTCAGTGTACCGTGGTGACTGGTGAGGCAGCTTCCATCCTAGATCCAGCGCTGAAGCCGCCAAAACTGGACACCCAGTGTTGGCAGCTTCAACGCTGAAAAAACTTGAATTGGCACTTGACATTGATGTCTGCAGTTCAACTGAAAATTTTCTCTATAATCTGTTACAGTCAATCAGAAGTGTTGTTTTTATTAATTTCCAGAATAATCGGGCGCATGACGGTAGGAAACCGGAATGGTCTGCTGGTGCCGTCCACAACAAACGACCAGGAACTGCAGCATATCAGGTGATTAACCCTCAGCATGCTCATGTAGCCTTGGCCACCAATTCATGTTGATTGTGGAGTTAGGTAGCAAGTAGAACTTAAGAAGGTTAATAATCATGATGGGATTTTAACAAATTCTGTGTCTGTGATCTGAGAAAAGCAACAATGTGTGGCATCATTAGTCTTGTGGTTAGGGTGTTGGCACAGAATCTTGACACAGAATCTATCTAGACTTTTGAATCCGTAGCAGAGCCCCCTTAAGCATACTTACATGTATGAAAAAGAGTTGTAGTCCATGCTGTGACTTACCTTTACAGTGACTGGTAAGGTGTGTTGCACATTGAAGCACTATTTGTGGTTACAATTGCCAAATATGTAAAAAGACATCCAAACCAGGTTGAGCACTTTGTTTGAACAGCAGGAAATCCTTCTCAGACTTCAACATGACCGTGTTCTGTTTGCTATGTGTGATTACAGGAACTCTTTACCAGACAGTGTGAAGATTGAGAGAGTAGAAGAGAGACTGTCGGCTCTAGGGAACGTCATCACATGTAACGACTACGTAGCTCTGGTGCATCCTGACCTGGACAGGGTGGGTTTGTGTGGGTGTGCATGTGGGTGTGGAGGTGCATACGTATGGATGGGTGATGGGCGTAAATCTTTGTGTTTGTTGGTGTGTGCCTGTATGCATACATCAGTGTTTTGATAGTGCCAAGAATTTTTGTACAAAGACTGTCCCAGTTGAAAGCAGAGAATTTAAGGATCTAGAGTACATTGTACATTGAAATTTTCTAAACTCAATGCTGATAACATTGCAGGAGACAGAGGAGATCCTTGCAGATGTGCTGAAGGTGGAAGTTTTTCGGCAGACAGTTTCTGACAATGTCCTGGTCGGCAGCTACGCAGCGCTCAGTAACCAGGGGGGGCTGGTACACCCCAAAACCACCATAGAGGACCAGGATGAACTGTCATCACTTCTACAGGTATGTGTCATGGAGCCTAACCATAACTCCAACGCTAACCTAACCTAACCGGCTAACTACATGTAGAGCCCAAACTCTAACCTAACCACCGGACCAGAACCCCAACTCTGACATAACCATTCAACCATAACCTGAACTCAGTCAGGCAAAAATGTACAATAAATGTCTTCATTCGTTCTCACACTCCGATGAATGTTTCTTGCTGTATACTGTGTACAAAATATTTTGCAATTTGAGAAAATACCAGAGGTTTGGCATCTTGTTTGTCATTTCGTGCATTGGTAGTAAGATCTACATACCTGTATGTCCATGTGATCAATTGATTGATAGACTGATTGCTCTATTGACAGGTACCGCTAGTAGCGGGTACTGTGAACCGAGGTAGTGACGTGGTCGGCGCGGGGATGGTCGTGAACGACTGGATCGCCTTCGCGGGGATGGACACCACCAGTACGGAGCTGTCTGTGATTGAGAGCGTGTTTAAACTGGGCGACGCTCCACAGGGAGCCGTCACCACGGCCATGAGAGACTCGCTGATCGACAGCATGACATAAAAACACGGTCCCATGTCTGTACATGTCCTACTGTCAGTGTTGTGTTGAAAACCCTTAAAGTCCATGTGTGGACTGATCTTTCCTTATGTCCACTTCTCTCACAGAATGGCCAACAACAATCAATGATATCTTAGACCCTTGTAAGAAGTCAGCACAAATGAAGAGGTTGCTGTGTGGCGTATGTGCTTACTGACATTTGTACCTCTTAAGGCCATTCCTGTGGTGCATTAGGCCGTCCTCCTTACAGTATAACCTTGTGCCTCTGCTTGTGGCCTTTATAAAGTATGACATGATAGCAATTTATAGTATAATTGTTACACAAGAAATGCATGAAATATACTACCCAGTACAGATATTAGGAAACACTGAGACCATGTTGTAAGCCCTGTATACTATGTGTACAGTTAAGTTTCACACGCCTGTCATGGTGCCCTTTTTGTCCAAATCATAGCTAAATCAGTCAATGTAGCCTTTTGGTATTTCATCTGTATTGATTAATGGCAGGAAGGTGGTTAAAGTGGCCACTTTGTTTTGCACATCTAATGCTGGGGTCACAATTCCCATACGGGGCCCAGCCGGGCAGCTTTTGGGAACGAAAACTACGATACAGAAGACAACAAAACATCGAAAAGATCTTAATAACAATCATGGGCTCTATTTCTCTATATTCTTGATGAGAATAGTTAATTTTTCGTTCGTACAAACAGCCCTGGCCGGGCCCCGGTTTTGAAATGTGACCTAAGCATAAGGACAGGTAAATGACTTTTGTATAAAATATAAAGTGTCAGATAACTAGTGAGTACAGTACACAGAGCTATGTGTCCTTCTAACACTGGTGGTTAACAGTCAGTCCTTCAAATCAATAAAGAAGCTTTCTATAACAAGGTCTTACTGTTTTCTTTAAGTTTTAGTTTTAGTTCACATTTTCAGTTTTAGTTCACATTTCAGTACAGTTATGGTGAAGTTTCTGCCTCATCCTGTAACAGCAAAGTTGTAACTAAAGAAAGGAGATAGAAATGGGTATAGATTGGAAATCATTGTACCCTTCAGTAATGTGGTTTGCTTTTTGATAACTCATCACTAGTGAGACGTCATTACCTTCATGTGGAGGTACTGTTGTGGGTGTGTTTGCTCGTGTTCATAGGTATTTGTATGCAGCAAAGTTGTGGAATGGGGGGGGGT